GTGAATGTAATGAAAAACAAGTAAAAAGATTTTGGCCAGATCATTATGATGGCGCAATAATTTGGCAATGATCTTGTTTGGTCCAAAAACTATATAGTTACTAATCATCAGCAATAAACTATTAAATTGATTTATGAGTTTGGTAAGTAAAAATTATGCGGTTTGAGCTGTTGTTATTGCGATTTTAGCAAGCTAAAAGAAACAGAAGCGGTTATAGAGGAATCCAAGATTGATTCCGGTTTAGAAAGAAATAACAAAGAAACACCAATATAAATACAAACACAGAAGATAACAAGAGCATGTAAGATATTAATTCAAACCATAGAGAGCAATGTTGTCTTAGATTGTAACATCTGTCGGATCTTTTTCTTGATCATCATCATCCTTGAGGTTTCTGTATCTTTAAAACCAAGAGCAGGCAAGAAAATAGCAGAAATTCAAGACTCCTCCAATGACTAAAACCCAGTAAACATTGTCAACTCTTCCATGGTTTATATAATAATTATTAATCATCCGCAATAAAATCAAAAACAAAAAATTTGACTAAATTTTTATAATCTGCTATCATGAGACATATTTGATTAAAGATCTACATGTTATGGTTATGTAATGATCATTAAAGTTTGAAGCATTCTCGATGATTCTGTATCAGTAGTTAAACCGGAGAGTGAAACGTTATCATTATCCAGTATTGACTCTTGCCTTTACAAACTGCTTTTCATAAACAAATTAATTGTTTTCACTTTGCTTAATCTCAGTGGAATTGATTCCCAAGTGTGCATTTACGTACGTTCAATCAGCATCAATATAATTTGGAATAGAAAAGTTTTTTTTGTTTTTTTTTACAAAATGAGTATGCACCAAAATTTTGCCTTTTTACATATTCCATTTCTTTGATCAGAGTGAAGAAGCATCTTACTTATTTTAATTTGGTTAATCTCAAATGGAAATATTCCTCTGAGGTGTACTTACTTTCAATAAGCAGCATAAAGTTGATATAATTTATTTTCCACATTAATTATATCAGTTTGCATCCTTTATGTGCTCCATCTTATATTCCTCTACTATATGAGTAACTTGAAGATTGCCATAGGAGATTATCTATTTACCATGAACCTGATGTGTACTCTGCATTTTGAGCTGTTGTTAACCGGCGCTGAAACATAAGCGGCTATAGAGCAATACAAACTTGATTCGGGTCGAGAGAGAGAGAGAGAGAGAGTATATAAACCAGCCAGCTTGGTTTTGGTTTGTTGAACCAATTTGAATCAACTTCATAGAAAAATAATCTATATAGTATGGTCACCAATTCACGACCACACATTGTGTTCATGATCCTTTATGTCAGAAGAGACTGACCCTGCCAGTCATTTAGAGAGCACTGAGAACAATTTGTGCTATTGGAATGATTTTACCTAACCCACTGTTTCTCACAATTATCCTTTGTTGTCATTTTCAAACATTAGGTTGCTGGCTTGGTTCCTGTTAATGTTAATCAGAGGGAAAAGGTAAGATGAATCTACGGTAATGTAAGTTATCTAATTCAGTTGACTTACAGTGTAAGTTATATATTGATTACTCTGTTGCATAAAAATTTAGAAACACAAGAGTGATACCGTTTTAATTCCTTGTGTAAAAATACACTTTGAATTGAGCAAATATTGCAAAACACAAATACATAAGTTAACGATAGACAATGTAAGATATTGATTCAAGACATGGAGAAAATTTATTGTTGTGGAGGAAACTGGAGATAATCTTAGGTTGTAACATCTGTAGTATCTTTTTTCTGATCATTATCATCCTTAAGGTTTTTGTATGTGTAAACCCAAGAACACACCAGAAAGTAGCCAAAATTCAAGACTCCTCCAATGACTAAAACCCAGTAAACAATGTCCACTCTTCCATGGTTTATGTCATTTGGCAACCACGCGGTGGTCCTCTGAATCAGATTGATCAGAGCTGTGCCCAGATAGTAAGATATTCCCATCACCAGAGAGGTCAATGAAGCCGCAGTGTTCCTCAGAGACTCGGGGAATTCTCCATAAAATAACTCAACATTTGCCGGTAAATGAAAAGCCTCGGCAATTCCAACTAAGATGAGAGGAGGAAACAGCCATAACACAGACATTGGATGCTCATTTCCAACTGTTTGAAGCCTCTTTGCTTCCACAACTGCGGAGATCACCATGCTTAAGATGGTGAAAACTTGGCCTATACCGACTTTTTGAAGTGGTGTCAGTGGTTTATGAGCTAGCTTCTGGTACAAGGGAAAGACAAGCCAGTTGTTCATTATGATGAAGATGCATGAAGAGATGATTGACATGACCAGGATTGACCCGGCAGGGACTTTAAAGTGAGGGCCGAGCCCACGGTCAGTAACTAGAGCTTGGAGTACCATCATGCTTGATTGTATCGCAATGGGAGTACTAACACACACGATGGCTAGACACAGAGGAAGTAGCCGGAGAACGATTTTGAAATCTTCTACTTCCTGAATAGAGCTTAGCCTCCAGCTGTTATAGTTTGAGTTACCACTCTGTTTCATGTCTTCTTCCGTCTTCAATGCTGCGCGGTTCAAGAACCTGCACATGTGAAGATCTCTCAGTTATGGTTTAAGTTTCATGCATGAAAAATCAAGCAATGTTTTTTTTTTTTTGTTTTCTTTGGATTACCCCAAAACCAAACTACAAGATATAACATTACTTCCGTTCCAAGCCAAGCTTTATTTTTCTTTTAACCTAAAGTTTTTTGAGGCTATTGCCGTTGAAGTCTTGGCCTCTTTTCCGTGATGATAGTCTTCTTCTTTATATGAAACCGCATGCTTTCCTTTCAATGTAGCAGCGACTAAAACGCGGATCAGGCTTGTGAAGGGACTTCCCATGGGTTTGTCATGATTGTATAGTCTCTTCCCGGAGATGAAAATGCTGAGACTGATCAAATTAGCAGCTGCGCAGAGACCGAAACCTAGCTTCCCATGGGTTTGTCATGATTGTATAGTCCTTTGTATATACAATTGCTGTCGCGCCAATGATGGCGCCTGTATTTACCGTGAGGAAGTACCAGTTGAAGAAGCTTCCTTGATCCTTACGTTTCTCGTATTGGTTGGCACCCGCGGATGATAAAGTCACTCGTGTCCCAGCTGTTTCAATTGTCACTAGAGTTAAGGCTGCATACAAGACGCCGAGCTGGAGTTTTGATGGAGACTGGCAAAGGTTCGGTCCTGTTTCACAAGGTTGAGGTCTTAAGTTGTCGAAAAATGCGATTAGAGTCAAGAGAACGATGCCCTGAGTACAGACGTTTTAAAACTTGTGAGATTTTTTGTGTAGACGAAACATTGAAGATACATAATGAATCTTAGACTTACGAGCAGAGAAATGAGAGCAGAAGCTGAGATGCTGGGAATGTTTCGAAAGAAAGAATCAGCAAGAATGGCTGCAACAAAAGGGAACATGCTGATGCATCCATTGACAATGTTTGATATCTGAGCAGCAGCGATGTTCTTGATGTTGAATTCCTCGATCAAGAAGACGATCAAGTTTATTATCCATCCGAAAGAAGCTATTGACAAACCTAACAGCGTAGCTGCACCACATAGAATCACACCACGAGACCACAATCATCAACATTTTTCTATGTTTTGGTGCTCAAAATCGTTGACAAAAACACAAAAAGACACCCTTACGTACCATCATGAACGGAAAAGTAATCCAGCCACCGCGCTTGGGGCTTGGATCTCCATATCCTGGAGCTTCTGTGTCAGCCATGAAAGAGATCAAGAGGAAGCAGGAGTTACTTTCACTTGTGTTTGGTGTGATGATGCAGTCAGAGGATAAGCTTTAAGCTATATATAAGCGTAAAATGCATGACAGTTTATTTTGGTGGAATGATTTGTTAATGATTATGGTTGGTCCAATTTTATAGTACTTAATTAAAGGGATTTAGACAAAGTATCTACTTTTGTCGTTTTCCAATATCACGTTGTTAAAATGTAATTAAAAACAACTAAAAAGGAGTTGACCAGATCCTTCAAGATCATTTTGATGGTGCAAAAATTTGGTAATGATCTTGTTTGACCCAAAAACTATATAGTAGTTTTGAGAGCTGTTGTTAACGCGGTTTTAGCAAGCTGAAAGAAACAGAAGCGGTTATAGTAAATCCAAGATTGATTCCCGTTTAAAAGTAAATTAGCCAGTTAGTTGATTTTGAATTTGGTGGAACGTTAGTGGGAGAATGGTAATAAATAACAAACAGATGCAAACACAAATACAAACACAAGATAAAAAGAGCATGTAAGATATTAAATGAAAACATAGATAACAACGTTGTCTTAGATTGCAACATCTTTGGGATCTTTTTCTTGATCATTATCATCCTTAAGGTTTCTGTATGTGTAAAACCAAGAACACACAAGGAAATAGCCGAGATTCAAGACTCCTCCAATGACTAAAACCCAATAAACATTGTCAACTCTTCCATGGTTTATGTCATCTGGTAACCAATCAGTGGTCCTCTGAATCAGATCGGTTATAGCACTGCTTGTGTAGAAACATATCCCAATCACTACCGAAGTTATCGAAGTTGCTGTGCTCTTCATAGACTCTGGAAACTCTTGATAGCACAAAGCTACATTCCCTGGGAAATGAAAGGATTCTCCTGAAACCAAAAGACAAAAACCAAGAACATGAACACTTTTGTCTCAAATTCAATATTGACAGATTTGTCTGATGAAATATATTCCTTACCAATTCCAACTATGACTAGAGAAGGGAATAGCCACAAGGCAGACATGTCAGCAACGGATGATGATGATTCAAGAAACTGACCATCCTCTACTACCTTCAACCTCTTTGCTTCAACTAAAGCAGTCAAGCCCATGCTAAGAATGTTGAAAACATGGCCTACTCCTACCCTTTGAAGCGGCGTGGGGAACTTTCCGGTCAGCTTTTGGTAAAGCGGGTAGATAAACCGATCGTTGACTATGATAAATAAGCAAGTTGAGAGAAGTGTGACCACTTGGAGAGAGCCTGCAGGGATTTTGAAGTTAGGACCAAGCCTCCGGTCCATCACTAGACCTTGAAGAACCGTTAAGCTTAGCTGCATGGCAATTGGTGTGCTCAAGAAAATAATGGCTAACACAAGAGGGATGACTCTTATGACTGCTTTGAAATCTTCCACTTGCTGGACACTGCATAGTCTCCACGGATTAAGAACTGTACCGTCTGGTTTAACCTCGTCTTCTTGTTTCAATGATGCACGATTAAAGAACCTGCATATGTGAAGACTCTTTAGAATGGCCTCAAGCTAAAATATCTTGAGAAACTTCGACTAAAACTACCTGAAACTCTTTGTTGGTGTTGCCGTTGAGGATTCACGGTGGTAGTCTTTCTCATTGGATGAAACCACAGCCTTTCTTTTTAGAACCGCAGCGAAAATGACTCGGACTAGACCTGTGAAGGGGCTTCCCAAGGGCTTGTCATGCTTGTAGAATCGTCTCCCGGATATGAAAACCACCAGGCCTAAGAGATTAGCAGCTAAGCAGAGACCGAACCCGAAGGTCCAGCTGATGTTTTCTTGGGCGTAGATAACACCTGTTGTACTTGTAGCTGCGGCTAAATACCATGTGAAGAAGTACCAGTTGAAGAACCTTCCTTGGTCTTTTGTTTTCTCAAACTGATTCGCACCAGCGGTTGCTAATGTGAACCTGCTCCCACCTGCTCCAACAGAGGCTAGAGTTATGGCTATGTAAAGAACGCCGAGCTGGAGTTTCGACGGGGATTGGCATAGGCTTGACCCTGTTTCGCAGTGTTTCGGTCTTAAGGAATCAATAGATACGGTTAGAGTCAGCAGAACAACACCCTGTGATCAAGAAATATGGAGGTTGGTGAGTTTCTGTTTTCAGAGAGGGAACAAAATTGTGTTTTGAAAATTTTTACCATTAGAGAAGATAAAGCTGAAACAGAGATAACAGGAATGGTTCCGAAGAAAGAGTCTGCTGCAATGGCACCAAGAGCAGGAAACATGAACATAAAACCATTGACAATGTTGGCAACCTGTGCAGCCGCTATGCTCTTCATGTTGAATTGCTCAATCAAGAAGACGATCAAGTTAACTGACCAACCGAACACTGCTACTGAGAGGAAGAAGAACGTTGCTGTACCATAAACAAATGTAGCTTCAGTATGAAGTATGAACAAGAAGTAGCTTCAACGATTTAGACAAGAAAAAAAAAACAGAGAAACCAAGAATCTCTTACGTATCATAAACGGAAAGGTGATCCAACCTCCACTGCGGCGTTTGCTGCTGGATTCTGCTGAGATCGGTGCTTCTGCATCGCTCGGTGCTGAAACAGACATTTCTAAAAAATTCAAGAAGAGATGTTTCACTAAGTTGTCAACAATGGCGAGCAATACTTAAGAATATATATAAGGAAATAATTACGAGGATGGTTGAAGATGATGATGACGTTCTAATGTCCATGTTATTGTATTCTCCATGAGCACACTCTTCTCAAAATAATGCATTAAGAAACTTTAAAGAAAGAAAATCAAAACTTGTGTTGATGTGAGTTAAACCATCTCTGTCAGATTCTAACAACCTTTTTGAAGCTAACATTCAATAAGTCAACTTAATTTGTTTGTCATGTAGAAGAAATAGTAAAGAAAGACAAAATTTGTCTGTTATTGCTAATAATTTGATCATACATCACGGTAGAAGATTTGAGAGTGACTTTGTGGGGCTAAATGAGTTTAAAGTTTAATGATGGTCAAACTTGAGACTACTGTATAAGAAAAAAAAAAGAAACTTTTTGATGACTAAAAACTGAAGATACTTTCAGACAAAAGCTCTTCCTTTACAGAACAGTAGAAGATAACTTAAAGCTTATAAGATCATGTCAGAACAAAGTATTAAGAGTGAGAGACAGCAACATCTTGTTTCTGATCATCATCATCCTTAAGGTTTCTGTATGTGTAAAGCCAAGAACACACAAGGAAATAACCAAGATTCAACACTCCTCCTATGACTAAAACCCAGTAAACATTGTCAACTCTTCCATGGTTTATGTCATCTGGTAACCACTCTGTAGTCCTCTGGATCAGATCAATTATAGCAGTGCTTGTGTAGAAACATATCCCAATCACCACCGAGGTTATCGATGTTGCGGTGCTTCTCATAGACTCTGGAAACTCTTGATAGCACAGAGCTACATTGCCTGGGAAATGGAAAGCCTCTCCTGAAACGGTAACACAAAACCAAGAACATGAACAGTTTGAATCTCTGTTTCAAATTTGATAGACTTGTCTGTATAATCAATTTTCTTACCGATTCCAACTATGACTAGAGGAGGGAATAGCCATAAGACTGACATGTCAGCAACAGATGATGACTCTAGAAAACGACCCTTCTCTACTATCTTTAATCGCTTTGCTTCGACAATAGCAGTCACTGCCATGCTTAGAATGTTGAAAACATGACCTATAAAGACTCGCTGGAGCGGCGTGAGGAACTTTCCGGTTAGCTTTTTGTAAAACGGGTAGAGAAACCGATCGTTGACTATGATAAACAGGCAAGTTGAGAGAAGCGTGATGACTTGGAGAGAGCCTGCAGGGATTTTGAAGCTAGGACCTAGCCTCCGGTCCATAACTAGACCTTGAAGAACTGTTAAGCTTAGCTGCGTAGCGATTGGAGTGCTCAAGAAGATCGTTGCTAACGCAAGAGGGATGATTCTTATGACTGCTTTGAAATCTTCCACTTGCTTAACGCTGCATAGTCTCCACGGATTGATAACTGTACCGTCTGGTTTCACTTCGTCTTCTTGTTTCAACGCTGCACGGTTAAAGAACCTGCACGTTTTGAGAAAAGATCATTACAATGGCTTCTCAATACGACAATGAAACTGCGGTTTTCGAGCTTACCTCAAACTCTTTGTGGGAACTGTGGTTGACTCGTTGTGGTAGTCTTTTTCATCAGTGGAAACCACAGCTTTTCTTTTGTGTACAGCTGCGAAAACAACGCGAAGTAGACTAGTGAAGGGACTTCCCAAAGGCTTGTCATACTTGTAGAATCTTCTCCCGGAGATGAAAACCACAAAGCTCAGAAGATTAGCAGCTAGAGAAAGAGCAAAACCGAAGGTCCAGCTGACGTTGTCTTCAGAGTAGACAATGGCTGTTGCACTTATCGCTCCTCCTAGATACGTTGTGAAGAAGAACCAGTTGAAAAAGCTTCCTTGGTCTTTGGTTTTCTCGTACTGGTTCGCACCAGCTGTTGCTAATGTGAACCTTGTCCCACCTGTTCCTATGGAGGCTAGTGTTATAGCCGTGTAAAGCACACCGAGCTGGATTTTCGAAGGTGACTCGCATAGGATTGACCCTGTTTCACAAGGTTTTGGTTTTAAAGAGTCAAGCGCAGCGGTTAGAGTCAGCAGCACAACGCCCTGGTCAAAGAAGAGTTTCTGTTTTAGAGAGGATTGATCAAAAAAAAAACAACAGATTCTGAGTGAGTCTTGTTGTAACTTTACCATTAGAGAAATGAAAGCTGAAACAGATATAACAGGGATGGTTCCGAAGAAAGAGTCAGCAGAAACAGCTACAATGGCTGGAACCATACAGATACAGCCACTAACAATGTTGGCAATTTGAGCAGCCGCGATGCTCTTCACGTTGAATTCTTCGATCAAGTAGACGATCAAGTTAAGTAACCAACCCCAAGCAGCTATTGTCAGGCCTAACAACGTAGCTGCACACAACAGAAAGATAGCTTCAGTTTTCTACTTATTTAAGTTTTAATGGTTATGATATGAAAAAAATGAAAACAGAGAAACAAGAATCTCTCTGACCTATCATAAACGGAAAGGTGATCCAACCTCCACGGCGGCGTTTGGTGGAGGAAGCTGCTGACACTGATACTTCTGCATCGCCGGAAACTGATTCAGACATGTCTCAAAATCAAGCAGGGGTCTTTGACTTTTAGTTTTGTCAATAATGGCCTCAAAGTCTCCAATAAATAAGCAATGATTCAACGATGAGAATGTTTAAAGATGATGACTTCCAATGGTCACGATATTTTATTCTCCACGAGCAGCAGCCTCCAACAACAAACGTTTACAAAAGTATAAATCACAAAGCCTTTTTCCTTTTATTTGAGTTAAGCCATCACTGTCAGCTTCGGAACAGCCTGTGTGAAAGACAAAATGATTTTGTCCAATTTCAACATTTAACAAGTCAACTATCCGGTGAAGGATATTACTAAAGAAAAGACCCATTTGCCTAATTATTGCGAAGGACGTGACCATATATACTTCAATAATGCAAGTAGCTTATGTAGAGCCAAACCCACAAAATTATCTTTAAAGTCATTGAATGGGAAAACAGACTACTCACAGCGACAGCTCTGACTCTTGTACATTACCAAACATTCTTCTTTATTTACACTAGATAAGACTTCAAGGAAGTAAAAAAAGTTTGAAGAAATGGTTTCATATATGGAGTACTTTACATGAGAGCTACATTCAATCACTAGCAGTAATAAAACATTGAACAAAACAAATAGGATTACAAGATTACAAATATGTAGATAGTACATGAATAAAAGAACAGGCTCAAAGATACTAAGCAGCGATTCGGATGGGTATTTGGGTAATACCCGGTGTTGATGCTCTTCTAACCATATGTTGGATTAAGTGCTATGGCTTCGTTGTAGATCATGTCCTTTATCTGTTCCTCATCTAGAGGCTGTTGCTCAAACTCGAAAGAGAATGGCTTTTGACAGATTGGCTCATCATTTGGGTCGTGTAATTTGGCTAGGTACTGATGATTCAAAGCTTCCTCAACTAAACACAGCAAGAAAAAGGGAAGTTGTTTTCAGTTTTTCTTGAATCAAACCATAATGATGATAAGTAAGAAAGCAACAGAGAACACTTACCAGTGATTCTTCTGTTGGGGTCAAACGTCAACATTTTGTCAACTAGATCAATGGCCAACGGGTTAACATGAGAGAAGAGCTTCGCTAATGGCTGGCGAGGGAAGTTTGGAAGTTGCCTGATGTATCTTTTCGCGTCCTCATTATGTGTAAACCCGAGGTCAGACTCCGTCGGCGTCCCAAGCAACTGCAAGAAGATTCATTCGCACATTCATCAACATCTTAAATTCCATATGCTAAAAAAATACATACTTTTTTTTTAAACTCTTTTACCTCTGTCAATAAGCGCATTTGATGGACATGGTCTTTACCAGGGAACAGAGGCTTTCTATTCATAAGCTCCATGAAGATACAACCAACAGACCAAACATCAATAGCAGCTGTGTAGTCCGAGGAGTTCAACAGAAGCTCAGGTGCTCTGTACCATCTCGTGACAACGTACTCCGTCATAAACTCGTTCTCCGAAGTCGGTCTAGCGAGACCGAAATCGCAGATCTTTAAATCGCAGTTCGCGTTCAGCAGAAGATTGCTCGGCTTTAGATCCCTGTGGATAACGTTAGCCGAGTGGATGTACTTGAGCCCTCGAAGAAGCTGGTACAAGAAGTACTGTTTTTTCAAGAAGAAGAAGATTCATGTTAAGTTTCTATGGTTTCTTAAACAATTATTGATTCTGATCAAAACCAAGAACAGTTTTTTTTTTACCTGACAGTGTTCTTCTGATAAACCTTGATTGGATCTGATGATTTGGTGAAGATCAGTGTCCATTAACTCAGTGGCAATGTAAACGTCGCTGAAGTTTCTTCGAAGTGGTGGAGGAACCACATCTCTTATAGCTATAATCTGTTGAAATCACCATTAAAATAAAAAGTAATTAAGATTCGTTCTTTCATCTAATTTTTTTCTGGAGATGTTTCATAAATCGAACGAGAAAAACTTACGTTTTCGTGATCCAGATGACGAAGGAGCTTGATTTCGCGGAGTGTACGCTTGGCGTCCATGTGGTTATCGAAGGCGTTAGCGATCTTCTTCATCGCTACCAGCTCGTTCGTCTCCGAATCCAGCACAGAGCTAGAATAAAAAAAAACAATCAAAACTCCAATCTCCAGAAATGAAGGAGAATAAAAAAAAAAAAAAAAACAAAAATCAAGTGAACATACCAAACGATGCCGTATGCGCCGCGGCCGATTGGGATGATCGGAGGACGATACTTGGATGTGATCTCGAATAGACTACCGAAGATATCGTAGCTTATGAACTGTCCTCCGTGGGTTTGTACCGCCGGAAAATCCGTGTATTGGCCGCCGGCGTTCATCTTTCTCTCTCTCTCTTTAAGTCTCGATCACGCGTTGAGTCAACTTGAAGCTTGACTTGTGGTTGGTTTAGTGAATGTGGAGGGATCGAAACGTTTATATATAATATAATAACAGTTAGCTGAGAGACTGAAACGAGGGAGATGAGTTTTCGCGGTAATTGCGAGGAAGAAAGAAGAAGGTAGAAGAGGAGGAACACAGAGAGATGGGAGGATCGTGCGGATGAGATTAAAGCCGCCTCAAATCGACGGTTGTTGTTCGGTTTTGACTTTGTCAACGGTCTTCCTCCCGACGTCCTCTACAGTTTCTGTCTATCGGGTCTCTGCCATTTTTATTTTCCTGTAAAGTTTTTTATTTATTTTTTCAATAAACTTAAATAACGTGGGATTTAAAATATTTGTAACGTGGACCTTTACAAAATTGTTTTATACCATAAATAAAATAAATATATTCGTTCAGAAATTAATATTTAGTGCTGTTTACGTAATTACGTTAGACTTTAAGATTCGTTTTTTCGAGATTATAGAGAATTTATATATAGAAATATTAATATCACGTGTGGTTTAAGAGGATTAATCATAATTATATACTACTTGTATTGATATTTTAGAATTTTTACATAGATTAAGAAATAATTAACTTAACTTTTATTATATTATTTTTTCATTTTAAATAACTATTAATCAACAAAAATTATAGAGTTCTCTTGAAATTTGCATTTTTGTGATATTATTAACAAAATTTAAATTTTAAAAACTAAAACATCAAACAATATGAAACAAAGAAAAAAAATCTAAACATCAAATATTAGTTATCATGCTGTTTAACATAATAGAGATAAGTTATATTTCTACTATTTTTCTCAGTTATGTTAGGTAGCTTGATATAACTATTTTTTTAAAATGAACACAACAACGAAAAATATTAAAATTTCTCACCAAAAAACTTACAACCGATGGCAACCAGGTCAAACCGGAATAGTGGCAGAATCCGTAATAAACGTAAAATATAAGGGTATAGTTGGCAAGAGATTAAGAGTTAAAATAGCGCCAAAATCAGTAAATCACTAGTTCACTACCATCTCGTTCTATCTATCTCTCTCTCGGCTCTCGCAATCCAATCCCAATCTTTCATCTCCACCAAATCTCGATCGATCTTTCTCTCACTCGTATGTTTAACAACCTCTTCTTCATTCTCATATCCGGATTCTTTTGCGTCTCCCCAATCTCAAAACCCTAATTCCGTCTATGCTCTCATTTCTTCGTTTTTTTCCGGGGAATACTTTTGTGATCAGCGATTCACTGTTTCCGATTTGACATTGTGGATTTCGCACTGTGAATACTTGAATTTTCGATATGTTTTCCGATTGCCTTTCTGTTATTGAACCATCGGAAAAAATATCGACAGTTCAATTACTCACTATAGATTCATCTGGTTTCCTTTACAGTTAGATTATTCGAAATTGATCTGAAAGATTGAGTCTTTAGAGAAATTTACGATTTTGATTTGTTTGCTTGGCTTGGAAAAAATCATTGAT